CTAAAACAGTTCGTAGACAGTCAGCGCTTGAACACTGACCTGAATTAAGTAAGCCCTTCTGAGCAAAACCGTTGTATGTGCATGTAGAACTCTAGAAGGTCTGAATCTAACGCGTCTTAGTACTCCTTGAACAAGTGAATCAGATGGGGGCAAGTATACAAATATATACTCCGTAATACTTGAAGTCACGCACAATAGTTTCCAGTTCACAAACTGGTGACCACTGCAAGACAAGATAGAACTTGGCTGTCCAATGAAACAGAGCACGGGAATGTTTGGGTCAAACAATATAATGGGTGGAAAACCGCTCTTAGTAACTAATGGACGCGTGTATTCGAGAAAGAGGAAGAAAAATTGTAAAACAAAAGTGGTCTTTTTTGGTTATTATTACCGGTAAATTTTTAAGTGAGCATAATAATGACCTCGTTAAAATGACACAAATAATTACCAATGTGTGTTAAGCATTCGCCGAATTGAAACCGGGTCTCTTGCTCGTAAATAAATAGAAAAATTGAACCAAGTCGGTTCCCGAAAGCGTTACTGTCAATATTCCTCAACTAAGAGACAATGAAGTTTTGAATCGTGTCTAACAGATCACTGGAGTTTCCGATGAGAAGAAATCACACGCATGGTCAGTAGGGAATATTTTGGGAAGACAGTCTTGCGGTTCCGTATTCGGAGAATGAGAAGAATCGTGAGGTATGTTGTCGGAAAGATATTAGCAGGCGTTGATGTCTTGATCCATCAAGATGCATCATGGAGAAGAGCATCCCCACATAGAGTTCGAAGACAACCCAAAAAACTCTAGGGAAATTATTACAGTTTTGTAGGTAGAGCTGTAGCATTTGTGAAAAAAGTAATCGCAGAAGTGAAAACGTGCAGAGCAGAAAACAGTCTGAGGAAAAAGCTAAGTCATTGAATATTCAGAAAGATGTCTTTAGGACACATAAGTCGGTAAGTTGATTCTAATTGAACTTTACTCGCGTGTAAGCGTGTCTGAACTCAGACTGATAAAAATACCCTAATAATAAGAGTAAGAAGCAAGGATGTCCTGTTAGAGTAGATTAGGAGGTCTTACTCGGTGGAATATCAACAGCAAACGTTTTTGCGATGCTTGTTCCATGAAGACCTAAGGAATATGTTGAATTGTATGCTGAAAAGTTGACAGAGAGGCTCCGTAAGGCACATCACACTCATTTGCAGTCATGCTGTACCTCTCACCATTGTTCCGCACATACAGCTTACCATCCGTGAAATAATGACAAAAGTGACTGAATACATCCAATCAATCATTTAAGTTTAGAAACTGAATGCAAACACAATTGCTTAGGTCATCCAGTTTTCAAAACTAAATGGTGCCTCTTTTGGAGACAAGCTAGCTACGCACCGAATGGAAAGGTATTCTGTAAAGCCACAGGATGGTGTTATTCAGGATACCCTCTTCCATCATCTGACGATAATTTACACATAAGGGACTGGATAAAAGCGGTGGCACCGCGCCGTCGGAACCAAAAGAGATGCATTTCCAGTTCTGTTGACTTTATTTATGAAGCGATTTCTCTGATCACTTAGCCGAAAGACACACTGATAGCTTATGCATGCAACGGGCTTTTCTTAGGTACTGATGTCACTGTTTTCGGTACAAAACGATTCAGCCAGACGACTGATGTACTCTGCACCTTGACATTTTGAGTTAACTTAGTGTGCGAGACAACATCAGAGCTTACAAAACTCATGATATCCTTATTACTTATTGCGCTTCGAAACCCGAGTAGCAAACTGAAACAACCTTCACGGATGCCAGCGATGCTTCACTGTCGAGTGTTGACTGTCAGATCTTGTGCAATTAATCTGAGCTAATTATATACCGGTAGCGATCGCTGCAAAATTCTATCTTTTTTCGAGTGCATTATCTGAACGGAAGTATGACAAATGCTCGTCAGCGGAACATGCAATTTTAAAATATATTTCTAATCGAAATGGCACGCATCTTAGAGTGAACCTCTTGGACATAACAGATGGGTTAGAAGGACCAACATTTAGAATTTGTTCACCGATTTGATGCACCTCCTTGAATATGGACTTCTAGTTTTGATCGCGAGCCAATTGACAAGAAGTTATTGGGATAAACATATCCACTGCTGCGTTTTCTGATAGTGTATCCACCTTGAGCTTGATCGAATGGTCTTCTTCTCTCCGGGTTTGATTGTTCGGTTCGGTATATACGATGTCACTCAGGCATGAACTTGTTTGCCTGTTCAGTCATGATGATCTAGGTGCATTCATCGGTCTCCGGTGGAATAGTGGAAATACGATCACACTGCAAGCGAGATGGAATTCCATTATAGCGAAAATTATGCAGTAGCAACTGCCTCTAACAAGAGGAAAATTCGAGTACACTACTTATAAACTTTGACGTAGGCTAACCAGAGAGTAACCAAATGTCGTCATGTGGTTGGCTAAATGAAATCATAATGCACAGCTTGGACCGCATGCTCCTGAAACAGTTGTGACTCGAAATCATTGCCCTCACTATAGATTGTTTCCAGCAACCTGTTGAACCACGTCGAGTTACGCGCAAAACCCCAAAAGCCAATTACTTCAAATGGAGGTTTATCTACAAATGCGGTACTATAAGTACAATAATAAAATGATAAAGCTTTACAAACCTCAAATCGTGGGACTACGCCGGCTCCTATACACCGGTTTAGGAACTGCTAATTCCTAACGGGTCTCAAAGTCCACGTCGACTCGGAGCCACGTGTTTACAAGCTAGCGAAACCACGTGTGAACTTAAACGACACGTCCGATGACAAGTTCAAAGAACGGTTTATGTTCAGGTCAAAAACAACAAGGTTGGTATGGGCACAGACCAAAATAACAAAAAAGGGGGAATCGCGTTGTACAATATAAAAGGTAGGAGAAAGGAATCAACAC